GATTTACAAAGCAATCAAGAAGCAGGGGGATAGAACTTTAGTATTTAGGCTAGGAGCAATCTTTAGTCTAGGATTTACAAACTGGTTAGAAAAGTAATCAAAGCCAAGGGCTAAGAAACTAAGAAATTAGGGAGGAGACTTAACATTTCTATAGAAAAGAAAACTTAAAATTCTTGGGGTGGGGGGGCTCTCTTGGGCGGTAACAGATGGAGTCAGTTTGGGGCATGTTGGGTTTGAGATGTTGAGTAGGCTATTGGTTATATTGGGTTGTTGGAAAAGTCATGATGAATTTTTTTTATGTTTTTCGTTGCAAAAATGCGTCATGACTTTTCCGACAACCCAATAACGTGTCAGGAGTTTGAGAGACAGGTCTGGGAAGGAGAACTCTTACGAAGTTTTGGAGGGGAGAGTAAATTGGTTCAGTTGTTCTGGGGAGCAATTTGTGGTACTTATAACTCAGTTCCACATCGAAGTGTGTGTACACTTATAAGAAGCTTTTTATTATACATGTGCATGAGGCAATAAGTACAGCATGTTTATAAGGATCATTGTTTTGATCGAGAAGAAAAACATGGAAAGATTGGCCGGCCGAGTGGCGCATTGGTTAAGAACTGGTTTGGGACGCCAGAGGGCCCCGGTTCAGATCCCACATATGAGGGCCAGCGACACTGCCCTCCACAGCTAAGATGCTGAACAACAGCTCAACCTGGAGCTGGGCTGCCATGAGTAGCCGGCGACTGCGTAGGATGCAGCCCCTGCTGCAGTGGGTTGCCATGGGCTACCGTGTGTAGCCAGCAGCCAGCGTGAGCAGCCAGCAGCCTCCGTGAGCGGCCGTCCAGAAGCCGACGACTGATCTGCCTCACCAAGGAAGAGCGCAATGATGGTGCCAACTTGGGCCAGTGAAGCAACGTCCTCCACAACTAGACTGAAGAACCAAAGGACAGCAACTTGTCTATTCCCCTTATCCCAATTCCCCAGTGCTGTTCCCATCCCCTAATTCCCCAATAAAAATCTTTTTAAAAAAACATGGAAAGAATTAAGTTTCCATTTACTGGAGAATGTATAAATAGTGTATTTATAGACTGGACTACTATACTGTAGATTAATAAACTACAGTGAAATACAGTTGACCCTCAGACATCACAGGTTTGAATTGCATGTTTCTACATATACATGGGTTTTTTTCAATACATATTCAGTTGGCTCTCTTTCCCCAGGTTTCAAATCCATGGATTTAACCAACTGCGGATTTAACCAACTGTGGATGGAAAACAGTATTTTCCATCCACATTTAGGAATCGTGAATGTGGAGGATTGACTGTATGCATTGTTTTGTGCTATTTTATATGAGGGACTTGAGCATCTGTGGATTTTGGTATCTCTAGGGATTCCTGGAACAAATCCCCCGTGGATACTGAGGGACAACTTGTCCCAACTGTCAGAAAAGTAAAGTTTTGGGGAGTGAAAAGTTATACACAGATTTTTGACTATTTGGGTTGGTACCCCAACCCTTCCCCACATTATTCAAGGTCAACTGTACATCCACATGGGTGAATCTCCCAATTATAATGTTGATTGATGTCAACAGATGAATACATACAATTTGAAACCATGTATATATCATTTTAAAATAATACTTATTGAATATATATGTAATAAAATATAATACACATATGGAAAAGTCCCTATAATACACATAGGGACTAGGGGGAGGTGGAACTTGATAGATTTGGAAAGCAAGTCACAGAGGCTCCAGCTGTTATTTGTAAGGGTTCTTTCTCATGCGAGTGGTGCAGTTTTATTCCTTTTATATCCCTGACGCTAATGATATGAATACAATTCATCAGCAGTTAATGGCTAGCCCAAGGAGTGCCTGGAATCTACACTGGCGAAATGGTTCCATCTAGTGGGGAAAGTGCTGCAAGTGTTCTGAGACATTCCTTTGGGAAGGAAGAACAGAGGTGATATGTAACGTGATGTTCTTTATTTCACTGAAACTAAGAAACAAAGGAAAAGGTTATCATTTAGAAATATTTAGTCTTTGCCATTATTAAGATAATACTATAAATCTCATAGGACATTTACTGGAGACCTGTAGGACTCAGATGGGTCTTTTTTTCTGTCTAATATATGTTTGTGTTTTGTTTTTCAGAAGGAGTTGAGCCTTCCAAGAAGAGGCAGCTTGTAAGTCGATGATTATGATTATGATCATGATTTCCTGCTTAGGAATCCAGTCTCCCTTGGGGACTGTCCCCAGTAATTTATAGAGGAATTTTTTTCCTGTGCATTCCTATTTTTTCCAGGGAAGCCAGTGGGCCAGTCAACTTCTCTTGCTAAATTGCTTTCCCCTTTCCCCGTCTCAATTTTTGCCTAGCATTTGGGGAAAGCTTCCACTTAAATACCCATCATAGTCTTATACTTGTGTTTTTTGGATTTATTGTGTTTTAGTCAACTCAAGCTTTTTGAGAATGTTAAAACTGAATGTTTTGGTATCTGCATCTGTCCCACAACACGGTACTAAGGGAGATGCCAACTTTTCTGACAAGTTGGGGCAAGGGCAGCAGCTAAGTTTGGGGGCAGGGTTGGAATAGGGCTTTCTTTCACATTTGTTCTAGTCTGGCTTTAGGGCTAGGGGAGATTGATGAATAATCTTTGTCCTTGGATTTTAATTTCTTGTATTTTCTTGGCCTGCTTTTTCTCTAAGAATTCTGTTGGGGAAGTACCACAAATTTGGATAATCAGAATCATCTAGAATGCTTGTTAAAATGCAGGTTTTGAACTTATTTAAATTAGAATTTCTACATTAGGGCCCAAGAACTTGTATTTTATGTACCTGTACCCAACACCGACCATCATTTTGCTAAGAAGCCAAATTTGGGAAACACTAAGGAAATAGGGCTATGATAAAAACAATGACTTTGAACATTTTTTTTCATAGAAACATATGAGATGTAATTTGAGGAGGACACAACAGTATTCATATTTATTAAGTATACTTTATGTATATATCATATGCATTTTTTTAAATGTATGAAACACATGATAATTCTTTCTATTACTGTCACTTTAGGATTTTGTTTTGTAAAAATGTTCTAGTGATTAAGAATTTTGTAAAGCCCTTTGTCTGGTTTCTAAAAGCTATTGTGATTTTTTTTTTCTAGGATACTGATCTCAGTAAGTTTTAATTTTAATCTCATTTTATTTTTGATAAACTACACCCCCAATTGGTAGATGTCCTTCTTTGCATCCTTTTAAGGACAGGAAAAAGGCAGTGCCTCAAGCTTGCTTTCTCCATTAAAAACTAGAAAACACCTTACATCTGGGTAAAGAAATTCTCCAGCTGTTTTTAGTAATAGTCTATTTAAAAATCTTAACACTATCTCATGCTGTTTTTTTTTTTGTTTTGTTTTTTAAAGCTATTGTGATTTGATATAAAGAGACTGGAGTTATGAGTCAGAAAACTCCTGGTGTTGTCTTGGCTATGTCACTTAATTAGCTTTGTAAGCATAGACTAATAATCACTTCATCTCCCTAAACCTCAGTTGCCTTGTCTATAAATGAGGGGCATGATACCTGTTTTTCTTTTTCTTATAGCTAATAGAAGGATCACTTAAGATATGTGATAGTACTTCTTATAGTTTTATTCTAAGGTGTGTTAGTTTTAGAATTTTTGTAAAAATATTGGGTTAAGTTTGGATGAATTTTAGTATTTGAGAACCTCATTTCTTTCTTTAAATTTGCTTTTAGCAGTGGATCTCAATTCTAGGTTTGCAAGTGTCCTGAGTCTTCTAAAAACTGGGCAAGGGCACTGCCAGGACTCTAATGGAGTGATACACTGAGTAGATACACATATCTGAAAGGGAGTGGCTTTTCAGCATCATGTTCAGCAAATATTTGTACTTAGTCACTTCCTGCTAGTTCTGGCTTTCGTTCTTTTCTTTTCTTTTCTTTTCTTTTCTTTTCTTTTCTTTTTTCTCCCTTCCCCTCTCCCCCCCCTCCCCCGCCCTGCCCTGCCCTGCCCTGCCCTCATTTGGAAGTTCTCTGAGATTTGCCTTTGCTTAAAATTAGGTGAAATGAATTCAGGCCTGAGGGTAGGTAGCTTCTTCCAGGAATGTGTGCCTCCAATGAACGGAGTTTGCTGAGAAGGAAGAGTATCTTGTGAAAATGATTTTTATTTGAAACTGGACGGATTATTGGATCATATTAGTTTTAAACTAGAGGAATCCCTTGGTCGTTTTGGTGGTATCTAAAGTTAGGCCTACTCTAACTGCCTTAAAATATTTAATAAGGTTCATAAATAAATACATACATACATACATACATACATACATACTTTTTAAATAAAGTAACTCACATTTAAACAATTGATTATTCAGTAAATACACATTAATACCTACTATGTTGGGCACTATTTAAGTTCGGAGGTTATAAGATTCAATTATACACATTCCTCTATTTTGAGGACTTATAGTTAGGTAAGCCAGAAGTGCCTTAGTACAAACAATACTTCTAAAATCTTTAATATTGGAGGAGTAGAAAAAGTTTTATTCTAGAAAGAAGCCAGGAAACATGGGTACTAATCTAGGCTTTGCCACTAAATAAGTCATGTGTGGTTTCAACAGGAACTGCCAGTTCTGGATCTGAATTGTGTCATTGTAAAATGAGGGGATTGGCTTACCTGATCTTTATGCTTAGTCATCTCTCCAAATAATCGAAGTTCCATGATACATACTTCTCTGCATAGAACTGGGCAAGTCTTTGTAGGGTAGGGAGTGTGCAGTAGGAGGCAAAGTATGGCTTAGCAGTTGCAGTAAAGAAGCCAGGAAGGTAAGACCCGCAAAGCAGAAGATGTTTGAATATATTTAATTAATACTTGAAAGTTTGTAGTAAGTAGGAGAAGCTGATCCTAATAGTAATAAAACAAGTGACTTACCATTTGCCCCATTGCATTAGAATGGACAGAACTCAGTAATGGATTTCTAGATGTATGCAATATCTTGGCATTATACAAAATGCACACTCTTTTACCCAATAAATAATTCCTCAAATGTCTCCAAATTGGTAAGTGGAAGTATAGCATAGAAATGAAGAGCTTGGGTTTGAGAGTTTGGCAGACCTGGGTTTGAGTCTTGGCACTACCATTTACTAATTATTATTAATTTGTTTGGTAAAAACAAGTTACTATATTTCTGTTTGTCTTTTTGCTTCCACTCATTTGTTCATTTTCTCAAATTAATCCATCTATTCATGCATCCATCATACTATATTTATTCAGTTCTTATTATGTTTAGACACTATCCTAGATGTTGGAGATAACATTAGTGTTGAAGCGAAGTTGCTGCTTTCATGGAGCTTCCATTCTATTCAAGGGAGACAGGCAAACAAAAACATAATATGATATGTCATATGATGTTAAATAATATGAAGAAAAATAAAACCAGATAAGAGATATGAGGGTATGTGTTTTTGTGGGGCAGGGGTTGAAAATTTAAATTGGGTTGTCTAGGAATTTTCTCTTTAAGGTGACATTTGAGCAGAGAAAAGTAGGAGCCTGGAAAGAGTGATGTTGAGATGTGTATATCTCTATGGTAAGAGCATTCCAGGTAGAGAATGTAACATGTGCCAAGGTCCTGAGGTAGGACCATGTTGGGCATGTTGGAGGACAGCAAGGAGGCCAGGTTGGCTCTTGGTACATGATCAGTCATGTTGGGCAGGTGGTGGGGTGTAGAAGAACATGAGGCAGGGGCTGGATATTGTAGTATCTTGTGGGCCATAGAATAGACTTTACATTGATTGGGATAGAAGGTCAGTGGGTAGTTTTAAGCAGAGAAATTATGTAATCTGTCACAGGGTTGTTGTGTTTTTTTTTTAGGGGGAGGGCAATTTGTTTTATTGAGATAAATTCATATACCATATAACCACCATTGAAGAGCATACAGTTCAATGGTTTGTAGTGTATTCACAGGGTTTTACAACTATTACCTTAAATCAGAATATTTTCATTACCCGAAAAGAAATCCCCTACTCACTAGTAGTCATTCTTCATTCCATACTCCCTCTGGCCTCTGGTAACAACTAATCTACTTTCTGTCTTAATTAATTTGCCTATTTTCCACATTATATGTAAATGTAATTATATAATATGTGGCCTCTCTGTGTCTGGCTTCTTTCACTTAGTGTAATTTTTTCAAGATTCATCCATGTTTCAGCATGAGTCAATACTTCATACCTTTTCAAGGCTAAATAATGTTCTCTTATATATATGTACATTTATTTTGTTTATCCATTATCTGTTGATGGACATTTGAGTTGCTTTCACCTTTTGGCTATTGTGAATAATGAAACTATGAACATTGTTGTGCAAGTATCATATTTCCCCATGTATAAGATGCACCCTTTTTTGAAAAATTTGGGGTCTAAAAACTGGGTGCATCTTATACAGTGGTTGTAGGGGTGTTTTTTTTTACTTGCATTTCCCGCTTTTTCACGCTTGTTGTCTTTGCGCTCATTGTTTCGCACTTGTTACCGGTATATTACGGCAGGTTATGTTTTGCCATGTTCTGCCCAGAAATGGCTCAGAAAAGATTTTCGTACAGTGTTGAATTCAAGTTAATAGTGATCCAGTTTGCAAAAGTGAATGGAAATCATGCTGCTGAACGTTAAGTTTGGTCCTCCTCCAACTGAGAAAACAATCCGAGACTGGCTATGGGAAGAGGAAATCCTACTGAAAACGCGACGGCAGAAGAAGGTCATGAGAGGCAAGTCAGCAAAATGGCCAGATTTAGAGAGGGAATTGAAGATATGGATTGAAGAGCAAAGGGCAATTGGAATTCCTGTGTCCACAAAGATGGTTCAGCATGAGGCAAGAAGAATTGCTGATGAAAAAAATGTTACTGATTTCAAAGGAGGACACAATTGGTGCTTCAGGTTCATGAAACAGAATGGATTAAGCATGCATACACGCACCAGACTTGCTCAAAAGATACCTGAAAGCTATGAGCAGAAGGTCCTTGAATTTCATCGTTGTGTCATTCAATGTCGAAGACATCAGTTTGAGTTGGGACAGATTGCAAATGTGGATGAAGTCCCCCTTCAATTTGATGTCTCAAGTAACAGAACTGTTGATAAGAAGGAGGTGAAAACTGTAACTGTGAAGACAAGTGGACATGAAAAGAGCCATTATA